CTTTTATCGCCTTGTTCAACACCTCGATTCACGACAACCGACAGATCTCGTCAATAGAGAAGTATCAATATCTGCTGGCCTCGCTAAAAGGGGAGGCGCTCAATGTAATCAAGAATTTGCCCCTCGCCGCGGAGTATTACATGATTGCATACGACGCGCTGCTCGACAGATATCGGAACAGAAGGAGGCTAGCGGACCACCACCTAAAGTCGATCCGCGAAGCCAAACCGTTAAAGATAGAATCGGCCGATGCCCTCCATAAATTATTAGATACGTTCACCGAGAACACTCGCGCGCTAAATCTGATGAAGTTCCCTACCGATTCGTGGGATTTCCTTTTGCTCAATTTCCTGCTCGAGAAGCTTCCCCGATCATTGCGGGAAAAGTTCGAATCTGTCCATCGGGCCGAAGAGATACCGCGATACGCTCAACTCATCAAGTTTCTTTCCGAGCACTGTAAAGTACTTGAGGCCATCTCGGGTCCGTCGACCATGCCGTTCAAATCACAATCGTCCGCGTCGGCTTCGTCGCTTGCAACTCGAACTGCCGAGTGTCCGGCGTGCAAGGAACAACATCTCGTGTTCAAGTGCCCTCGATTCTTGAAACTATCCCCCCGGGAAAGGCATTCAACGGCCAAAACCGCGAATTTGTGTTTCAATTGCCTTCGCGCGGGTCATGGCGCTAACAACTGCACATCGACGGGGACGTGCCGGTCGTGCCAGGCTAGGCATCATACCCTATTGCATTTCGGACGGAATTCGGGTCCAGTGTACACCCCGGCGGATACCGGAGCCTCCTCCGAATCGGCCGTCGACGGGAGTTCGTTGCCACAAAATAATGAACCCCTCGTCACCATGGCTAGCGTCGCGAAATCGAGTTCGACAGTATTATTGTCAACGGTGCAGGCCGAAGCTCTCGACGTTCACGGAAATCCCTTCCCTGTTCGCATTCTTTTGGATAGTGCCAGTCAATTAAATTTCATTTCGGAAAGTTGCATGAAAAGGGGTGGTTTCAGACGAACCAAGTGTCGTACGGTAGTTCTAGCGGTTAATGATACTAAGGCGGCTGCCACTCAAGGTAGCACCTCACTCGTGATTCAAGTACAGGGTAATGGCAATACTCGCGTTCCGATAGAGGCTACGATTCTCCCACGCATCTCCGCCCAATTACCTAGTAGACAAGTCGAACAAAGAGCGTAGAAACACATAGAGGGATTAAAGCTCGCGGATCCGCAGTATCACCGACCTGGTCCCGTCGACATCTTAATCGGCGCGGATATCTTTGCCTCGTTGATTCGGGACGGTCGTCGTGTAGGAAGGAAAGGTGAACCAGACGCCTTTAATTCCATTTTCGGCTGGGTTCTGGTTGTCTCAGTGTCGACTCAGGCATCTCGGTCTGCACACTCGTTCCTGACTCTCGATTCTCTAGATGCATCTCTCAGTCGATGTTGGCAATTAGACGAAATCCCCACACACTCGGGGGTCACAAACTCAAGCGGGAGGTCTCTCGTCCGCACGCCGCATGGGCGCGTCGCGGCGGGGTCAACCGCGCGCGTGATGTCTCTCGTCCGGGCGTCGCATGGGCACGTCGCGGCGAAAGTATCCGCGCAATCGTTGTTTCGTTTCACCAAGCGGGATGTCTCTCGTCCGGGCGCTGCATGGGCACGTCGCGGCGGAGACATCCGCGCAATCGTCGTTTCGCCTCACCACACGGGATGTCTCTCGTCCGAGCGTCGCACGTCGCGGCGGAGACACCCGCGTAATTGTCGTTTTGTTGGGACGAGGTCGAGTCCTTACACGCTCACCTCGTCATCATGCACCGCCGAGTCACACGCGCTCGGGGGTCACAATCTCAAGCGGGAGGTCTCTCGTCCGCACGCCGCATGGGCGCGTCGCGGCGGGGACAACCGCGCGCGTGATGTCTCTCGTTCGGGCGTCGCATGGGCACGTCGCGGCGAAGGTATCCGCACATACATAGCATTGTTTGGACGAGGTCGAGTACCTACACACTCATCTCGTCATCGCGCACCGTCGAGTCACCTACACTCACGGGGCCTTTGGACACCGCCGTCTCGGCGTATCACCACTCGGGTATCGCCGAACGGTAGGACCTTACCGCCGCCTTGGCGTATCGCCTTGTTCCTCCCGCCATCGCGGAGGGCTCGTTGGGTGTCGCCAAGCGGCCGGACCTCATTCGGAAGTCCCGAACGAACTCGCATCCTTGATCCAGGGGGGCTCTTGACCCCACTCATGTTCGCATATTGTCTCCGATTTGTTACCAAAACTAGATAAAATGCGCTCACTCTCGTCGTGGATCAAATCGAATTTCAGTCGACCTTGTTATACCTCGTCAAATTTGTACAATCTCGTTGCTTCACAGAGGATATCGGTAGCTTAAGACGCAATCAGAGTTGCTCCAAACCTCTGCGAAAACTCGCCCCCTTCTTGGATGGTCGCGGAGTCCTCAGGGTGGGCGGCAAGCTCACCCAATCCGCCATCTCATACAAGGCTAAACGCCCTGCATTGCTGTTTAACCGACATCGACTCACGGAACTTATAGCAGAGCGCACCCACCGCCTACATTTGTATCCGGGACGTCGAGCGTCACATTACATCTTGTCACAAAACTTCTGGATCCTAGTAGAAGCTATCCTGAACTCCAGACCCCTCTGTCCCACCAGTTCAGACTCCAGCGACCTTGGGGTGCTCTCCCCGGGGTATTTCCTCTCCCTGGAGTCTCTCATGGCGGTTCCACACCCTGACCTGAACCCGGTGCCGAGAAACAGACTCGATCGGTGGCAAATGGTGCAACACATGCACCAGCAGTTCTGGAGGAGGTGGCATGACGAGTACTTACACACCCTCCAACAACGACCGAAGTGGTTGCAATCGGCACCTACGGTAAGAAAGGACACATTGGTCCTGTTAAAGGGCAAAAACGCCCCTCCCTTGCAATGGAGGCGAGGGCGAATCGTGGAGCTGCACCCGGGACGTGACGGCGTCGCTCGGGTCGCTACGGTGCGGACGGCGGATGGCGTGCTTACCCGTCCTCTGGTGAAGTTGTGCCCACTGCCGATGGACGCTTCACCAGAGGAATCCGTTCAAGCATAGAAAATACGTCGTATTTTGGTGGGCGGTATGTTCGGCGTATCGCCTTGTAAATAGCATAGTTACTTCATGTCCATGTATTCATGTATCGTTTATACTTAGTTGCATAAGTCGTTTGTAATTCTCGCGCGAAACGTCGGCGGATCGCGATCAGCCAAATCATGCGACTCACCTGTCGGTGCTGCCATCGCCCATCCGCCGACGGTATCCACCCCCCCGGAAAGGGAACAACTACTCGCCGCAGCGACATGTTCCAGGACCGCGGGGACAGAAGCATTCGCAGTTCAGCCGTCCTACGGCACACACATTTTGGCCAGCCGTCTTACGGCATACAAGCATCGTCGAATAGTCGGAGAGGACACACCTCTCAGCAGGGTATTCGCAAGTCAGCCGTCTTACGGCAAACACACGTTTTTGGACAGCCGCCGTGCGGTACACACACACACACATATTCTAAGAGCCGTCTTGCGGCACGCATTCGCCGGGCAGAACGCATCTCGAGATCGCCTTTGCCGCCTTGCTCAACCGGGAGTGCATACGTCTCCAACTGCTTTTTCCTGCCTGCTCTATCGCTTGTTCTCCACCGCTTTGCTTGCTTGCACGAGTTTTGCCACCGCATGCCGAAAGAGACCCACGGAGCGGCCAAGCTCCAGGGACAGGACGAGGATTGGCGGAATCACGGGGACGACGGCCGACACGGTGAGTCGCTTCGCTTAATATTTCGTTGCATGCGTTTCTGCTTTCGCGTTAAACATTTGATAGTCGTGAGGGGAAAGCGACAACCCCCCTCTGGTCCTTCGAGTATCGCAAATCTTGCCTCCGGGGCGAAACTATCCCTGTTCAAAATGTATACATTTAACACATACACACACACACACACACACGCGCACGCGCGCGCGCGCGCGCACGCACGTACAAAATACACGAATACTATGTTTAAGCAAACGTTATTTCTGTAGTAATTTAACTTACTCAAATCATCGTAACTTACGATAATTCACTCCGTGTAAACGGAGGTCTCTAGCAGAACATTACATTATATGTATATACATTACATTATTACATTAATATAAAAATATTATAAATAACATTAATAACTCTTACTTGTAATTGAATAGAGTAAAATCCCTTTCTATTTACGTATGATTCACCGTGGTCTTGTGGCGCAGCAATTCTTACATGTGTTCCATCCACCGCACCAATAACACCTGGGAAACCGTATTGATTTTGAATGGTTTCCATAGTTTGCTCTGCTTCTTGTTTAGTTGGCCATTTGATAAATGTCCTTATTTCTGCATATAAGGCATTTATTACTCTATGCACACATCGCCATGCAGTGCCTTTACCTACATTAAATCTGTCTGAAATACATCTGAATACTTTATTTGTAATACATTGTAATTTCTTATTATAATTGTAACGGCCTGACTTTATCGAACGCGGACTGGTTTACAGGATCGGGAGTTCGATGAAAGGCCCAGAGACAGTAATCAATTTGCTATGTGACCACAACATACAATTTATTCAAAACTATAATATGAACTATAATATACAATACTCGGGGTTTGGTATTTTATACAAACTGGACGCGGTAGATTACAGTGGCCGGTAGTGCCGGTGCAACGCGACGCGGTATACGAAATATCGGGACTCGAGTCTTCGCCTCGAAATGCAGTACGCAGAGGCGGGAATAACGCAGCGCGGTATTTGACAGAACGGAGTCCGTCGCGGTATAAAGGTATAAGACGATACGAGACGCGGTATATTACATACGGAATGCGGCTACAGATAAACGATAACGGAACGCGGTATGTTACATGCGGAACGCGGCTACAGATTAATACATACAACAAGATATAAGATGATAACGAAACGCGGTGCGTATCAGAACGCAGTAGCTATGCTATATGAACCGAATGAAGGCATACGACGATAACGGAACGCGGTAGCTTATATACGGAACGCGGTTTACTACGTACGGAGCGCGGTATATTACATACGGAACGCGGCTACAGCTATCAGAACGCTGTATATGATGCACGGGTAAGATAGCGCGGTATATTGCATCGGAGGATGGCGGAATCCCGGGATCACGGTTGTGAGAACTCTCGCGGCGAGGCCGAGCACGCTCGACCCCACGGTACCGTGGTCGTCGGGGCAAGTATCAGGGAGCTCGGGAACACTCTGAGAACCCTCAGTCGAGAACCAGAACTCTGGACCTCGTTGTGCGTGTTGCCCTAGGATTCGGAAGGTATCTTCGTCAGGAATGGCGGAAAGCCGTGGTAAAGACGAAGTGAGTCTTCGTCGAGCGCGCCGGCTTTTTATACCGCTCGGCGCAGTGAGCTTGGCAGGAGGGAGGCCGATCGTCAGGCGACGGTGCGGTGGTGGGAGCGGCGCGATCCCGCGTGCTCGCTTCGGCGGGTCTCGGCTCGCTTCGGCGCTCGTCGGCGTCGTGCGGGAGGGCACCGGTGCGGCGGATTTCCCGCGCACACGGTGCGTTTCAAATACTTTAAAAAATGTGGGCGCACCGCGCCCTGTGCTCGCCCGACGGGGAATCGGTCGGGCGGCTCCCGGCGGGTGGTAGCCGGGGACGATGCGTTGTCATAAGGGGTGCATCGTTACATAATTCACAATAACAATCATATGCATGCTGCTTACCTATAAGAATTTGGTGTAGCCAACATCCATATTGCAATAAGTAATTGTTTCTCAGGTAAAATTGGTTCTCTGCCAAATCTTTCTGTCTGTTTGCAGAGTTTTGGTCTTAATAACTCTAACAAAAATTGAAAAGTATTCCGTCTCATTCTAAAACAATTCATAATTACTTTGATAATAATATTTTTTTATAAATGTGTCTATTCCTATTATTTATTACTATTACTTATTTTTACTTATATCTAATAATAATTATTTTTTTTGTTACACATTTTTTATCACACCTATTTTTTATTATTTTTTATTTACTTACCAAAAGTGCATTTTAAATTCTTTATCAGTATATAAAGGCACAACATTTTCAACGTAATTTTGGCAACGAAGATGTGGCATTACATGTGGCTTAGCTATCATTAGTAGTAACTCGTTTTCCTCATCTGATGAAACACTGTCTGAGGATTCCACCAAAAATCTCGCGAACTCACATAG